GGGTGTGGGGGGGTGTGTCTGGTTTTGGTAATTTTGAGTGTAAGCCTTTCCTTTCAATATTTCTGGCTAGGCTTCTGGTGCCCCAATTTAGACATTTTAATATGTACTTCCAGTATGTGTTACTGGAACTAACTGCCTCTTCCTCCCAGGAAGGCAGCCATGTGTAAACCTCATTTATGTAGCCCACTTCATAGCTCCTCTCCTTTCTCTTTGATTCAATAAAATAAATCTTATCTAACTTGTCATCTTAAGGAATGTGCCAAACAGAATCAGAGAGGGGAGGAATAAAAAAAAATAAAAATTATTAACCAGAGGTTTATCTCCCAGATACTTATGATTTCTCTTCCTAGGAAAGAGCTACAATAAATGACTACCAGGAAGTCACATCTCAGAGTACAACATGGAAGACTATCTTTAAGCCTTTTTAAAATTCTCCCCACTCCCCAACAGGGTTCAAATGTACCTAATTCATTGGTCCTGGCTCCAAAACTTTTGACATTACAGTAGATTTGTTTGCAGACATAGAAATCAGCATACAGACAAAAACTGAATTGAAGAAGCAATCATCTGCCAGAGCAACTAGAGGACTTTAAAGATATTATTCCCGTTCTCTTAAATTCTGCTAACATCTGTTGGAAAACATTGTTCTAACATGCTTTCTTAATCTGAAAAGCCTCCCAATTCCTATTTCTGTCATCCTGATTAAAAAGAAACAGTCTACAAGAAGGGACTGTGCTCTACCAACTTTCTATTCCATTGTTGATGGTAGGTAGAAAAAAAAAAAACCCCAACCAAATAAAAATCTCACAAACCAAAACCACACAGCAGATTACATCCCAAATACTCTTTACACTCCAAACAGTCATATTCTTGGAGAGACCATTTGTATGGCCAAAATATTTTGGTGATATCAAAGTTTATCAGAAGCACACATGCCCCACACTTAAATGTATGTATTCAAGAACAGTTTCCTGAGATATTCAATGTGCTTACTGCATTTACTAAACAAAATGAATTATAACTCCTACCATTCCATCATAACGATCTCCAGGTCGACCTCTTCGGTCATAAGACATAAGATCTCTAAAACGAGAAAAAGCAGCAGCACCACTTGTTATAAACTAGTTTATATACTCTAATTCAAGTTTTCATGACTTGCACACAATTATGAATTGCTGAATTCTTTAGCCTAGTTCTGAATGACATAAAATAAGTTACAGAACTACTAGTCATGATAAGACTGAAGAAATAATTAATTTCAAATACATTTCAAAATTTTCTAGTGCAATGCACACTTGATCCTGCATAATCATTACCAACACGGAACGTGAAACAAGTCCTGGAAACATGAGCGCAATTCAGAAAGTTATACTCAATTTGAGTTTTGTACAATGCATTTATGCAAGAGCTTACCCGCCACGAGGAGGTGGTGGAGGAGGAAGAGGAAGATTACGAGCTCTACTGCCACCTCTGCCACCACGACCTGGCGGAGGTGGTGGAGGTCCTCTGCGAGGGCTCATATCATCATAATCTCTTCTTGATGGAGGCATAGGTCGTCCACCACGACCAGGAGGCATTCGATCAAAGCCTCCTCTCCCACGCATTGGAAAGCCTACTGGACGTCCCCTTCTATCATCAAACATCATTGTGAAGCCACCATAGTCATATGTTTCATCATAGAAATTGGGATCATAAGGCTGGGCGCGTCCTTTAATTGGAGACTAAGACACACACACAAAAAAAAACCAACACCCCTCCCACCAGTTAGTACCATACAATTATTATATTTCATTAAATTAGTATATTAAATGTATAAATATGAATTTATACATGCTAAATATGTTCTTTATTTCACAGTGCTGATAGGCAAGACAGAGATGCTGATATGCTTCCTGAGAGCTTAACTATGATATAGAAATCACAGTTAATGATGGGTGGCACATACATTTGGCTCACTTCATTCCCAATTTAAATTTTCTTATTTTGCTGCAAAGCATGACTAAGTCTCTGAGTACCAAAAATATCTTCCCTTACCAATAAGGTACACTCCAATTCTAGCAAACAGGAATAATTTCAAAGGATGCTATAAGTCCAATGTTTATTTTGTTACTGGAGAAGAGGCACTGAATTCAAAATAGAAATGGAAACATATGATTTTCCAGCCAAATAATCCTTTCATGAATACCAATGAAAGAATAAGCTTAAGATGCATTACCTCAGATATAAGATCCAAGATAATCTTGATACATTCCACAACTCTGTCAGGTTTTCCACCAATAAGCACCACTCTATCAGTGGAATGAGGACAACATTCTTGAAAGAGCTTAATGGTGGTCTGAGTGTTCTGTTGAGAAGAAAAACAATCCCCAAAAATCTTCAAATAGAAGTATTTTAAACAATCTTATAAACTTATTGAAAACAAAATGGGTAAGACACACACTAAAACATTTTAAAAGAAACAATCAAACCAGATCATTAAACTTCTAGTCATTTTAAGTTAATGCTTGGCTTTCCAGTTCTGACAACAAATTTAATCTTAGGATATTATATTTTTAAAGACCTGTAATGACATCAATTTGTATGAAATGCTAGTGAAGAGAAAAAACTTTCAATATTTGACATCTTTTAATTATGGCTCATCTACATGGTCATTTAATCAAATATGAACAAAAGGACCACACATTCCTTATAAGCTTAAAGGTTATATAAACCTTCATATGTCATAAAAACATGCTTTGGATGCAAGACAGCAATATTGCCAGGAATATGTCTAGTCATCTTGTCTTCACCTCAGTCTATAACAAATAGTAGCTTATGCCTAAACTGACCTGGAATTGCCTTTGACACAATGTCAAGAAAGGATAGAAAAGAACACTCGAGATTCAGAGACCACCTACACCTTTTCAAAACAAAACCTCATTCCTTCACAAAGGAAACAGTAGTCTTAAAGTAAGTAAAACTTCAAAACCAAAACCAAACCACCCCCCAAGAAAATCCCACTCCACACTATCTTTTTATAGCAATATTCAAATATCTATTAAATTATCATAATTAAGCGTTTATGGAGATACAGCTACGCTAAACCATTTACCATGTCCAATACCACCAAGATAGTCTATTCAGAAGTTAATTCCAGAAGGATTGATGAATGGTATTTTTATTTTAAAAAGTATCCTTTATTTATAAAGATTACTGCTAATATGCTTAAAGGCTTTTATAAGAAGTTCTAAGCTCTATCACCAACAGCCACTTCATGTATGAAATATGTTCCAAAGGATCATAGATCACAGATGATGCTTACACTCACTGTTTATGAGCACAAACCCCTAATTTGTTTATAGAATAAAAGCAGAACCTGAAAAGAATAGGAAACAGTACCTCTCTGAGTTCTTTGATTTTAGCACCCTTGACACCAATAATTCCTCCTGCTAGACTTTGGTGAATTAGAAGTCTTAACTCACAGTCAAAGTCGCTACCTTTGTAGTGCTGATACTGTAAATAAGATGCATACAAGCAAAGAATAAAATATTAGTTCAGGGGAAAAAAACCCAAGCAAACAATTAAAAAACCCAAACAAACAAAATTCTAATTTCAGGAGATTTTTGTTAAGATTTTTCTCCAAACACCACGTCATGAATGAATTTGCTACTGAACTGTAATACTGTATTTGCTACAATAAAAATCACATTTTTAAGCAATTTGTCTCAACACAAGATGATGTCAAATTAATTTTCTTTATTCCTTTTATCTTTATTGCTGCTGTATAAAATTTTAATATATCCAATAGTGCAACACACTTGATGACAATGCCAAGGCAGAATGGAAATTACAATACAGCTACTTCAAATTGAGAACAAAACAAGTCAGAAGACAGGTGTTTTGAAGGGGAGGATGCTGTTCCAAATGTTAATTTTTTTAAGCAGAAACTCTGTCCACTACAAAAAATGCCAACACATACCTTGAGAGCTATAGACCTCCTTTCAAAATAGGCTGGGTTTTATTTTCTAATTTAACATATTAAAAATAGCACACAATCATCTAGAATTATCTTGTTTCAAAATCTAAATTTATATCTCTGAAAAAGTAACAAATCTAAGAGACATACCTCTTCTAAAGTAGGGATAATCTTCTTCAAGATTTCTCCAATTGTCTCTGTATCTGCACTTATACTCAAGATACTGTTAGAGGCCATAGTAACAAAAAACATGGCAAAGGTGGAAAGTAGTAGAGCTAAGTTTAGTCTTCATAATCATGCATAAAATTCTAACAAGACTGACTACACAGAATAACTTACAATGAATATTCCCCATTTAAAGTAAACCTGTTCACTGGATTTACAACACATGCATCTTTGTTTACACCCAATATATATGCATGATGAATTTAAGAATTTAAGGCTAGGTAGGTCTTACAAAGAGCACGCGAGTGCTTTTGGAAGGGCTCGGATTAAGCAGATGAGAAATCAATGTGGAACTAAAAGTACGAGTGAATATTCACTTTCCCCACCACCACTAATTAAGTATATCCTTGCCATTACATTGGTAAAACTGGCACACCTTTTTGTAGAAAAAGTGGGGATATGTAAGTGGTCAATATTATATCTGGAGTAAGGTTGAGACACCGGTTAAAAATTAGATTACTAATGGGCTCTGCAAAAAATGGAATATAAATAAAATGGGAAAAAAATGAAACAAAACAAAAAAAACCAACCCCATGAACAAACAAAAGCATAACAAATGAGAAGCGAAGAAAAGTGAACTAGACTTAGTATTTCATCAGAAATAATTATGAACAATGTTGGGAGGAGAAAGGTGGGCCACAAAGACCAGAGCAAGAGACTCTTGAAACCATCTGATTTATTACGTAGTGAATATACAACACTTGAAGCTATGCTCCCTCCATTGAAATTAGTGGATTGGTTGGGTGGGCAACTCATGTAAAAGTTCAGTGACAAAAAGCCTTAATGAGGAAAATAAGACAGAAAACTTTAAAAAACCCCCAATACATAGTCTATAAGGGGATACTATTTAATTATATCAAAGGCACATAATAAAGCACATTTCTCTCTTTCTAATCAGGCAGTGAGGCATAAACTGTTGGGACATACCGCTCAGGGCCACTGCTGTCTGGGACTGAAACACTTGCATTGTACTGCATTGGTCATTGGCGTTCGTGGATGTTGGCATTGGGCATGGGCATTCAATCAGTTGTCAAGTATGGTACCCGTTTGGCAACAAGCACATTTTTGGGCATAGCCAACCAGGGTTTTCACATGGGCGTTCAGGGGCGGATGGGCCAACGTCATGGTGGGCAACGCAGGGGGAAGTCGATCCAGTACATGGGTAACGGAGATATATGGCCAAAAAAACAAGGAGAGGGAAAAGGGGGAAAAGCAATAAATTTTAATTTAAGACAAACTATACTTATTACTCTCAGTTAATGAAGCAAGCTTAAGTTGTTCTAAAGACTAACACAATAATGGATTGCTAAATCAACTGTGGCTTAACAGTATAGATCTTAATGAGTTACGTTATCTGACTAAACTACGTTTCAGTAACAGGCTGGCTCATGAACGTAGACACAAAAACTGTTGAGATCCATATTAATGAAACCTTGGGCAAGTTGGGAAAGTTAGTATTCCAGACCAGTTAAATTATCTGGACTAAGGTGATGTGTTTATTTACTTAAAACAAACAATCAAACAAAAATACTAGTTGCCAAAGTTAGTGAGTGTATGTATGATTCCTGACCATTTCAGCTTAAACCTCAATTCTAGTTAATATAGCTTGTGAACCTAGATGGAACCGATTCTGTGAGGCTATATTAGCAAATATTGTGTTGAACACAGCCTTGCTTGGAAAAATTGACAAAATTGTAGCTGATGCTAAGTACAGGAGTGTAAACACAAAATTTAAGAAGCATTGCCAAGTTTTACAAATATATAACATTAATGCTGAGCATGTGTCTAATCACAAGAGTCAATCCACATAAAATATGAATAAGTAAATAAGTCATGACCATTTAAAATGTTTCCAAATAGAATGTTTCTTTACTGTTCCATACACGTGTTTAAATCATGCAACATGAATGATTTTGTGCTTTATGTCCATGGTATTAAAGTAAAAAACAGACGGACCATTATGTTTTGCTTTTTTTTTTCAAGGAAGTTAAAGAATTCCTTTATCACTGAGTTAAGCCAGCCAGTAGCAATAGTTTTCAATAGTACTATAACCAATTCACATATATGGGAAATGGTACAATTACAGGTATTTTAGCTTTGCCAATATTTCTAATTAAAGGTATTAACTCATTTTAAGTGTATAAATTAGAGGAATCCTGTTTGAAAGCAAAGAGGTTTAATATAAACCTCTCCTCCCACATAACTTGAGCTGGCCTTTAATTAAAATGAATTGAAAAACTAAAGTTATCTCCTCTAACAGGAGGTTTATAATTAGATTATTGTTGTCTAGGTTTGAATTTATCAATTTCTAGAAATGTATGCAACCAAGTTTTCAATGCAGTGCTCTGAAAGAACTGGTGTTAAAATTAATTCAAAATCATATATACTCACATCTGTACGAAGTGCCTTAATATTTTTGCCACCTTTTCCAATCACTGCTCCAGCATTCTGGAAAACAGTTTTCAGAAATTCTGTTATGCTAACACAGCACACAGACTACATTTTTGAACCAAAGACTAAAAACAATGTGTCTATTTCAGCATTACCGTGTGGGATGTACTTAGGGGTAGGATGGTGCTTGGTTTTCTTTTAAAAGGTTCAAATTAAATCAAAACAAACTGACATGGTTTTACCATGAAGAAAAAAAAAAGACAATACAGCTCTTACCACTGAACTTTGGAAAGAGATAAAAATACTCAGCAATATTATTTCAATTTCAAATTTAAGTTTTAGGCAATTCTGCCTATATTCTCATAGAATCATAGGTGGACAAGCAATGATTGGTAATAGTTACTGGATCTTATGGTACCTGAAGGCTGGTAAGAAGCAGGGTACCAGAGAGGTCTATCCTGGGACCTGTCATGTTTAACACAGAATCATAGAATGGTTTGGGGTGAAAGGGACCTAATCATCTAGTTACAATCCCCCCACCACAGGCAGGGATGCCACTCATTAGATCAGGCTGCTCAGGGCCCCAACCAGCCCCAAAGTTAGAGTACGACTGAAAAAATACCTTATGGGATCTCATGCATGTTATGTAGGCCAATTTATTTGATCACTTTTTTTTTCCTTAATGATTGCGAATTTCACTTTCCCACTCCAAACATTTGATAATTTCAAATACTACTTTTGGTTGAAGCCTATGTAACTCAACTGACCACTCAGGTAGGTACAGTCTAATGAACGTAAAGCCAATATAAACAATTGCTAATCTTCAGTTGCTAAAATCAACAGGAATAAACTCAGATATTCAAGAGGGGGAAATGTAAAACTAATTTTTTACCAGGCTATTTCAAGAATTACATGCAAAATTATTGCTTTTATTATGCAGTTCACACGTGATACTAACAGTGCCACAAACATTTTGCAGCACTCCACGCAACTTGCCTATTCATCAGAAATGCCATGTAGAGTTAAGGTAACATTCCTCTACTCTGAAACAAAAGACTGAGTTACTTCAGACAGTGCGAACATCCGCAACGACTAGAAACACTAAAAGACAATCATAAATAGCAATTTTACTGTGACAATTTATACTAGTCAATGAAGTGATTGCAATCCATGAAACATTAGTCCCCTATTTCCTCCTGTTGATACATACAGATTTACTAAATCTGCAAAAATTACTAAAATCCTGAGGAAGTCTTAATCTTGCCTCTCATATTTAATTTATAATCATAAGCTGATCATTCTCTAAACTGCTTGCTTTCTAAAGACTAATACACAGTCATTCCCCTGGAAACAATTATGTTCCACTTAAACATGAGAGGTGTTTTATAATTTCTATTTCTTTATTATGCTTGTTTGGGCTGAAGTAGAGTTAGCTTTCTTCACAGGTGCCAGTATGGGGCTATGTTTAGGATTTGTGCAGAACACAGAGTTGATATTGCAGAGATGTTTTTTGTTATTGCTGAGCACAGCTTACACAGAGTCAAGGCCTTTTCTGCTTCCCATACTGCTACACTGACAAGGAAGTTGGGAGTGCATGGGAGGTTGGGAGAAGACACAGCCGGGACAGGTGACCCAAACTGACCAAAGGGATATTCCATACCATATGACATCATGCTCAGTATATAAGGTGGGAGGAAGGG